TGAAATGACTACACATTTATGGTAGTTTTTTTGGCAGTGTAGAAAATAGTCACGTGTTTAAATATTTTTTAATGTATTAATCAAGGAATTAAAGAACAAAAAAAGAGAGAAGTTTTAGGTTCATTTTCATCATAAACATCTTTATACTTCCGACTTTTTTAACCGTGCACGTATTGCTTCATCCTGAACTTGTAGATTCGACTCTCTACTTCTTTCTTAGTTCTTGTGCCTTGTAATTCTCTGTTTCATCATCATCTGTTGATTTTTTAATCTATTTTTATTACGACTACTTCGATGCACAACAATTTTATTCATCTTTTTAGCGGCTCTTTAGATACAGTAGTATACATTTCCTAATAATTGGTGAAAAATGAGTTGTGAATCCGACAGGATAAGTGAATATGAGTAAAAAAGTAAATGTGACTCATGTAGAGACCTATAAAACTGAATATAATTATTAGCTTTTTAGGTGGTTTTCATCTTTCTTCTTATCTTTTATCTCATGTACTTTCTTTTTTCTTTGTGCAATTTATTTATTTTTTACTTACTAGGCATTTTATTGTTCAACAAATTATCAATTTTATTTTGCCACTATACATGAAACTATAAGTTCGAGTGCTTCATCACTCTTTGTTTTGTGATTGCTATAATTAGTATTGAGTTCTAGTAGAAATCTAATCTTATATCACAAAATGCTAAGAAGCTTTGAGAAGTTATTAGGCTATAATTTTTACTATACGAATTGGATTTTTATTAAACAAGATTTATCAATTTTTTTTTTTATTGATGGTGATGCTAATGGTACTCTTGATTGCTTTGTGTCAGTTTGCAATATGTTTCTGTAGTTTGTTACTAGTCTTTCTTCTTTCAGTATCCAACCCTATGGTGTTTTAAATGAAAATCGTAAAGAGGTTCGATAAACTAGTAAGGTACATGAGTAGGGACCAGCAGAGGAAAAAAGAAAAAGAAAAAGAAAAGAAAATTGTGAATAAGTTACTAACGAATGGAGGTTGTTTTTTTTTTAATTAACAATGTTTGTCTCTTTTAGACCAATTTGGAATGAGTACATAATGGTGTAAGGAGGCGGTGGTGCTTGGTGGAACCAGAGGAAATATATAAAGAGGTTATTGATATGTTTAGAAATAAAATCAAAAGAATTTTCTACTCTCTTTTATATGGTTTATTAAGATAAATGCATCAATTAAAGTTTCAAAGCTTGGTGTTTTGAGTTTTTTTAGGAATATTTTCAATTATGGAATAAATGTATTTATGTTTTGAACAGAGAAAGAGAAAGGAATATGAAGTATTCATTAGTGAAAAAAAGAGTATGGACTTGAGTAATAAAATAGACTTTGATAAATGTATAATCTCATTCCTTCAATTTTAAGAAGAGAAAAAAAATACTTATTACACGAGTCTTCCTTGTTTGTAAGTTCAAATATAGTTAAATATAAAAATATTTTATTTTTTTCAGATTGTTCTGTTAGATTTAAAATTGATAGTTTTTATCTAATGACAGAATCTTTTAGAGTCTCACGTAATAAAATATAAAACTATGATGGTATTGTTGAAGATATATTAATCACATTATGAGAATTACACTTAGGGACAAGTTGAAGAAAAGTTCATTATAAATAATGTTCTCTCTCTAACTTCAGCCAATTTTTAGATGTGTTGGAGATCCTTTGTTTATCCTTATTATGTTGATATCTTACTCAAGATTGCAAAAGTTTCTGCGGCTTTAGCAAGCTTTTAAAGGTTATTTTACTGAAATTTCTTTTCAATGCATATGTTCTATAATCTTGTTAGATATTATTTGAATGGATCACAAAAATGATGTATTTTTTATTCACTTTGTAGATTCTGTAATTATGGAGTTAACAGAAGCAAAAATAGAATGAGTTAACAAATTCTTAAACATGATGAGGTTCATTATTAAAGAGATAGTCAAGTTCCTCTCTTGTGAAATGCTGTGGTGCAATTTTGATTTTTGTTGTTCAATTTTCTTTGTGGAGTTGTTCAACTTCAAAAAAATGTAAAATAAATGTTATTTTCAAAGGGGTTATCTTTCTCATTTGCCTTATGTGTTTAAAATATGTCTTCTTTAATAGTATTAATTCATTAATTCATTCAACACAAGCCTATTAGCTGAAACTCTCTCCATCTTGAGTCATTCCATTGTTCTTGATAAATGTTGATTAATCCATTATATAAATGTTTTATGACATGGTATTCTAATATGTATGTATACATAATTATGATGAACATATTTGTTGTATGTCCATTATTAGACTAAGATATGTCTTATCATAAGAATCCTTACAACTAGATTATGTTTGGGTACTAGGTGTTATAACTATCACTCACATACAAACTTTAAAAGATTCTCATTAACTTTACATCTTGTGTTTCCTTGTTTTTTGAAATGGATATTTAAGAATTCAAATATAATATAATAAAAGTGTAATTTGGATGTTTAAATTGACTATTTTATTTGTATAATTTTTTCACTGATAACAATTTATTATTAGATTTTTCATCTTTTATTCCAAATTTAGTCATTGAATTAGTAAATTGAAATTGATTGTTTTGCTTCTAAACATGGTCCACACATGATATTTTCAATTTATCACACATTATTAATCTTTGGTGGGTTTTTTTTTTTTTTTTTTTTTTCCATTTATCAATTTCAAACTTGCAATTAGTTTATATTGTATTAAATGATTGAGTGTATAAGAAGGCCTTAAATCTTGTCTTTGTTTAAAAAATGTGTTTTCATACTAATACGATATCACAATTTATCTTCCTTTTAGACTCATATGGACTTTAAGCAAGATAGAGATGGAAACAAAATCATCTAAAGGGTTTGTGTTTAAATTGCAATAAATTTAAGTTATAAGAAATTGATGCAAAAAATTATTTTAGCTGGAATTTGTAGAGGAAAATGATAATCAACCAAAAGAACCTTTAAATTTGACATGATTGGTTACTACCTTCTTGTAATGCTTGCGAACAAGCGCTATTTAAAGGAGTGGAACCCAAAATATTGAAAGAAGAAAAAGAAGTGACATAATGAAGTTTCTTATGTACAAGTCCCATTAAGTGACGAAAAAAAAGAGATCTACTCTCATTCTTAAGTGTTAAATTGGCTTTAAGTTAGGTTTTTTTTTTGTCATATTAGGGAAATAAAAATTGTTTGTTAGGTAAAGAATTTGGAATAAGACAAAATAGGAAGTTGTTTTACTATAATTAGACTTGTAACAAATTAGGAAACAAGTTGTTGCACTCTTCTTTATATAACATATGTATGTATGTTTAGTTGAAAACTATTTTAACAAAAAAGAAAATCAATTATTTATTTACAAAAAAAAGAGTTTTAAATTATATAATTTTAAATGAGTCCTAAACTATAAATCTAATAAGTACATGTATAAAAAATCTCCAAAACAAATAGTCTGTTTATCTTAATATTTTTAACCTAATTATGTCCATAACTGTATTATAAGTTAGAACGACTTTGTTTTACTACATTTTTGTCCCTATTGATTACTATTGAAAATGAAGTTCCTTCTCGTTTTGATTTTGACTAGTTTTTAATTTTTGATCTTCTCTAGAGTTTTCTTATCATGAATTCTAATTTGTTTTCTTAATCTTTTCGATTTCGTTTCCGTGATTATTTATTTTCAAAATTAAATCTAATTTTCTTTCATGCAAATGTTCATGTAATATACTAAATTTACCCAATCCAAATTTGATTTAATTTTGAGTAAAGTTTATATTATATC